CTAAAATATGATGGTAAAAATATACATTTATAAACAAAAAAATAATGAATGACAAAAGTAGCAAGAAGAAATCAAATAAAGTTATACATCGAGTAATTGACATACCATAAAAGCATTAACGATTTTAAATTTGTAAATATACTCTGAAAGAAGTACATATTTTATACGCTTTTTATTTTCATATACACAAACATTAAGGGAAAAAAGTCAAAATTTTATTCTAAATTGGGTTAATCTGACTATAATTATGATAAATAAGATAAACCTTTGACAGTTAAACATGTGAGCTGTGATTAAGAAATATCACAAATGGAGTGAAGTAATTTTTTGATGCAGTTAAGAGTAAAGGAAAAACTAGGAAGAGATGTGAAACAAACCGACAGTGAAAATAAGACAAGAAATCGAAATAGCGAAGGACAGATTTATTCATATTTGTCTCATAAAGTAAATAATTCTAATTAAAGGCCTCTAAAGGCTGTCAGAGATGGATCTGTGTGACGTCTTATTAACAGTAATGACTGTAGTAATTGTACACAAAATGTGTGTTTTCCCCTCAGGACCTGTGTGTATGTGTGTGTGCGTATAAAAGGGTTTATTTATTTGAGATTATGTGTGTCGCCTACCTGTAATCAGTCCAGTTCACTTCAGCCTACTTACAATTACTCCACATCTGGTCACCACATGTGGCAGCTGTGAACACTTTTGAGCCGCCACCCCCGCAGATGTAAAAAAAAAAAAAAAAAAAGGTGAGGTACGTGAGTCGTTAGTCAGACTCGGGCATTTAAACGCGTTTATATAATCTTGGAAAAATGTTTCAGTAAAATAGACTTAAACTGCACACATAAGTAGGAATGTCAAGAAGTTTATGTCAACAAAACATTTTCAACAACTCCAAATGACGCTTAATGACATTTCATAACCAGTTTTTAAGGGTTGTGTTTTTTGCAAATCCATCAAGCCGAGACATTTGTAGTCTGAATGCGTCATTAAAGGAAGTGGTTGGACTGACCCGAAACACAAGAATCTGCATGTTTGCAAAGTCTGACTTGAGTGTGGACCCTGAAACCAAGTAATATTCAGTGCTTTGTTTTTGCCAACCACTAGAGGGCGCTCATAGTAATGGGTAAGTTTCAGGAACTGGTCTGGGAATCTTATTTTTACATTTAATTAGAACAATCTTATTATTGTAAACTCTCACTAAAATAGAATAAAATAAAATAAATTCAAATTTTCAATTGGCAAAATGACCTGACCACACACTGAAGTAGTTTTGTCAATGTGAAACTTTAAATGTCAACGTGTGTGACCACCTGTGTTTTGCATGGTTCACGCGTGGGTTTGAAAGATTTTTATGGTAATGATCTACAATCTTGGGGATTGCATGTGAACAATGTAAAACCTTTGCAAATCTAAAACCTCTAGGTTTACATGTGAAATAAATGTGAAGCTCATGAAAATTTCCACATAAAATACATTAACTTATGTAAAAATATCAAACAGTGTGAATTTCCACATGAAACATAGGATTACATGTGAAACCTACAGGATTTTTGTATTTCACTAACTCTTGTTGAAGATCTTGTTTTAGCAGTTTAGACTGAATCAAACATATTTTCAAACCATTATTTGCAATGAACTTTTTTTAATTTATTTGCCACGTGTGCACATACTGCAGAGGTTGTGTTCTTTCTTTAACCTGGCCTGCTTTCAGCTGATGGGCTTAGCGGTTTACAACAGCATTGCTCTGGATATCCACTTCCCTCTCTATTGTTACAGGTAGGAATGTTTTAAACTCACCTTAAATGTGTATCTGTAAAAATTGTGAATTCTGCACTTGTTCAAATCCAGCCAAACTGATTGGTCCCGTATCACAATACAGATGGACAATGACCCAAAACATTAAGCCAAGGCAACCCAGGAGATGATTAAAGCAAAGAAATAAAATATTTTAAGACTAAACTTCAGACAGAAACAAACAGCAGCTGAAAACCGCTGCAGTAAAGGCCTGGTAGAGCTTTAAAAAGGTTCTTCTATCCCTACAGTGTCTGCTGATGTCCATGAGTTCAAGACTTCAGGCAGCCACTGCCAACAAAGTTTATTGGAAATTAACATTATTAACAATTATTTCATTCAATTAGTTTTGTGTTTAAAAAAATGCTTTAGTTACTCACATTTCTATGCAATCATTTTGTTCAACTCGCTGAATTGAAATTCAACTGCATCAGAAATGTTTATTCTAACTGTATTGCAGTAATGCAGTGATTCCCAACCAGGGGTCTGTGAACCCCTTCGGGTATGCGAGCATATTACAGGGGGTGTGTCTGTTCGTCCGTTTCCTTTCACTTGTCCGGGGTCAGGTCGTGGGGGCAGCAGCCTAAACACAGAGACCCAGACTTCCCTCTCCCCAGCCACTTGGGCCAGCTCATCCGGGGGAATCCCAAGGCGTTCCCAGGCCAGGTGAGAGACATAGTCCCTCCAGCATGTCCTGGGTCTTCCTCTGGGCCTCCTCCCAGTGGGGCGTGCCTGGAACACCTCACCAGGGAGGCGTCCAGGAGGCATCCTAACCAGATGAACCACCTCAACTGGCTCCTCTCGACGTGGAGGAGCAGCGGCTCTACTCTGAGTCCCTCCTGGAGGAGTGAGCTTCTCACCCTATCTCTAAGGGAGAGCCCAGACACCCTGCGAATGGGGTGCATGGAAAAATTTCCCAGGTGTGTAAAAAAATTAATAAAAAATAGGACGGGCCCTATGATTTCCTCAATGCAGAAAATGCAAACGGAATCACAAAATTGACACAAAATGGAATCCAGCATAAAATGTGGAATCTCACGGTATTTGCTCGTTTGGGGTATTTGATGAATTTTGGACGCTGCTGCTTCCTGCACCTGCCATTACCTGGTTTATTTATTTAATTATTTATTCACTTTCAAGGCAACATATTTATCTTTATGTTTAATTTGAGTTGAAAAGAACAAAATGCCTGAGAATTAAATGTTCTATGGGGTTAAATAAACAATTTTCATTTAACAATCAGCTGTTGTACATTATAGTTTTGTAGAATCATCATTACATTTGACAGAGGGGTACTAGTGGTATGATAAAATGGCTCAGGGGGTACACAAGTCTAAAAAGTTTGGGAACCACTGGATTATTGTACAGAACCAAAATTAGGATTTTTTTGTCTCTGTCCAACTCTGGTTCCGGTTCCACCTTTTTACAATAAAGCTATTCTTACTTGGATTGTATTTTTAAAATAATTTTAACATAAATCCTGGGTGTAAATGTCACTAACGATAACTAAATGTTTCTTTAAATGATGCCTCGGTGAATATGTGAGATTGTCAAATTAAAAGATGTTCCAAAACAATTACAGAAAGTTACCAGGCAGTATTTGTGTAAGTTCTGTTGTGTAACAGCTGCTCATCAAACTACTGGCGACCTTGGCCCGGACACCAGGGGAAGAGATTTACATTTAATCCAAGTTAATGGTTCTGATTAATTAAAAATTCAACTGGCATGGGGATATATCAGTTTTGAGGGATGTTGAGCTCATAATCTTGATGGCCATCGTGTTGTTTACATCACTCTGTTCTTCTGGGACGGTGACATCACTCTAATCTCCTCATACAGACATTTTCAGCGCTTTCACAAGTTTCTCTGCGTGACGTCCGGCAGCATATCACCCCTGCTCAAGCCGTTCATGTCACTTATTCTGTCCTTGCAGGAAGCTCCTCACGCCACCTACTGTACCACCTGAGCAGAACGCCCTTGTTGGCATGGCAACAGCCACCTTGGATGACTTGCAGCAGGTCATGCCGGTAAGTACCTCAGCCTGGTGTGTGTAGTCTCGTACTCTAAAAACAACAAGACATTTTGCAAAAGTTTGTGGGGAAAAATGTTAAAAGTAAGATGGAGATTTTTGAACAACATACAGTATATACTATAAACATATCAAATGGTGCATTCAGGGGCGTAACATTCTTACATTTTTGGGGTTATTTGTGGTGAGGTCCAACATAAACAACTGGACATTAACGTGCTTGTGACATGCATATCCATGAAATACAAAAAGTCAAAGAAAATATATTTATATTGAAGAAACGTGGCATAATGCACATGATTTTACACTTTATGTCACATAATTGGCACATTTTCTTTTGAACTTGGCTCAGCTAAAGTGAAACAGGAAGTGACATCAAAGGGGAACTCTTCAACACAGAAACTGTAGTTTTTTGTTTATTTTAACAATATTATTTGAACTCTGACTCTTCCTCATCTCTCTATGATCGTGATTAAAATGATGTAAAGAAACATTCTTTTCGACAGTCTGGGTTGTTAGCCATTTTAGCAAAGTTCTGTTCATATTCAGACATTCCCCTTTGACATCACTTCCTGTTACTTCGCATGCAAATATCTCAGCAACTGTTCATCTCACCGGCGTGAAATCTTTTTTTACAACATGTTATCAATGTTATCTTTCCAAAAATACATTCAAATTTATTGCAACGATTTGATGACGCGGGCACTTCAACAACTAAACTCACCAATTGATTTTAATACCTGAGACCTGTTCCTTCACCTAAACCCCAAACTTTCAACAAACCCAGACTAGTGAACAGACTGAGGCCTGACCCTCGGATGAGCCTTAACTAAAGCCAGTATCTTATTGGGCTGCAACTGTTAGAGACTGGTTCAGGGCTATTCAACTGACAGCCTGCCACATCCGCGACTGACCAAAGTTTACCCTGACAATTTGTTCATTAATCCATTAAGCCCAAACCCAAGGTTTTCTACTTTAATTACTAAGTTCTAAGTTCTTTTAGCTGTTTGTTATCTACAGAAACATCAGAATCTGGGCTATAAGCTGGTAAAAATCATTTCTATGAACACCCACGGCACTTAAAACTACAAGCAGTTCAAGATAAAACTGTGAAAGTGAAAATAAAATTGGTTTAAAAAATTTCAAGTCAGAGATGTCAAAATAATATTTGTGTAAAATAGGAGACAAATGTGTTGTTTGATATTGTTTTTATATTTATATTTATATTATCACTACTTTTATTACATAGGGTTCTCTATGTTGCATTCATGGTTAAATGCAGCAAAATAAACTATTTCAAAGGAAGAAACACTTGGTTTATTTACATAATGACTTTAATAGCTGGAAGTTCGGCCCCTCAGCTGTTGGTCTGCATTAACTGTGGCCCCCGGAGCAATTTAGTTGAATAGCCCTGGACTAGTTGGAGAACAACATTTGCAAGGGAGTTACCAGAATGCACCTTTGCAAGGGTTGGGTAGGTAATCTGAATATAGAACATTTATAGTATAACTAAATTATGTTTTTTTCAAGCAGCCCTACATATTTGTATTATTATTTTCTTATGCATCAGAAAATCCAAATTCATGTCATGTTGGGTCAAAATTTCAAAGAGCCACTTCAGATGTGCTAAGGAACCACGTGTGGCTCCAGAGCTGCTGGTTGCAGACCCCTGCTTTAGTGCTACCCACTGTAATTTTCCTTACTGTTGCAGCATCCCTTCACACCACTAGATGGAGCCAGAGTAGAACTTTTGATTCCAGTTCTTTTGTTCAAGTCTCAGTTCTACTTCATGTGCTTTGTTTCTCTCCTTTTGTAAAATTTATATTTAAACATAAGATGCGACCAAAATAAGGATATTTTAGTTCACAACACTGCAGTTTTTATGTGTAAAAAGGTCAGGATGCAGACGCACAAAGATTTGTTTTATGGCAGTCAACAGTTTGCTCGAGGCTTTTACTAAATCAAAAATAAAGCTCCTGAGCCAGCTCACCTTACATCAAAGTGAACATTTGAGGTTGCTTTTGATATCCACATGCCCTGGTAGTTTGTTATTACCTTGACAGAAACAAATTACACACCTGCGCAATACAATTTAAAGTCATAATTATTGTTTTTGTTTGGATGTTCAGAAAACAAGTGCTGGGTTTGTCCCTGGGTTAGAAAGTAAGATTTGTTTCTTGTGACACCAAAACAATGGGCCTCATGCAAGAACATGCTCGTATTCTTATCCTAAATTTCTCTTACTTTTGTTCGTACAAAGGGTTCGTACGAACATGTCACGTCAGATTCAACAAA